GCTGAAGCTTGATTCAAGTTTGTCTTTCTTACTAACAGATAGATAGCGAACACTAAGAATAAGATTATTCTCTTGCTTGAACTCAGTCTCTCTGAAAATAAAATCTGGTTTTGTTTTTATTTAAAGCTTTTTATGATTCTTTTTCGGGCAGAGGGGAATTTTGAGAAATGTGTGAGAAACCATTTGGCCATTTTAATAAAGCAGACATTACTGATGAAGAAGAAATTGAAGCCTACGGTAATTTTTACAGATGTAAACCATACCAGCACAAGATGGTGTAATGTGCCAGTGAAGCAGTGAAAAGTTGCACGTTGGGAAATTCTGGCCCAGCAAACATGCAAAATGAGGATCATCAATGCTTTCCTCTGTATTTATTCCCTGGACAGAAGGTATGTAAATTAATTATTTTAAGATGACTTTGATAACATGCCCCAGTACTCCAAGGAATTTTGGCTGCATACATCCTGCTCTTGTATTATATGGACAGTGGATAGACACAAAAGTAGAAGCAAGTTGAAAATCTTTTAAGGACTGCTGCTGTGCTTTTCATTTGGATAAAAGATGGCAAAAGCTGCAGGTCCTCACATGATGTCATTAAGAATTTTGCTAGAAATTATTACTAGACAGAGACTGTAAAATCTGGAAGAGAAATGTTAGATATAACCAGATCAACTTTTGACTAATTACTATTTCAAAAACAATGCAGTAGTACTTACCACACGGCAAAGTGTCATCCTCTTCTACTGTCATGTTATAGGTCCAATCCTCCTTTCTCCAGCGTATAACACCACTATCCTGGCAGTCCTGAGATTGTGTTATATTTGCTTTGTCCCACATTCTGAACAGGTACAGTTCTCCAGTCATACCCAGGTGAGGTGACGCAGCTGTACTGCGCAGCTTTGAACAGCCAAGTAAGAACTGGCCTTTTCCAGGTAAAGTAACTTTCCCATTTAGTCTTTTGTTGAATTTTTTAATTCCATTTATGAATACCTTCATCTCCTCATCGTCACTTTTCCACTGGATACAGATTCGGTTCCAAGTGTTTCTATGAAGTCTTGCTGTTGTATTTATTTGATTTCCAAACAACCATATCCTCAACTTACTATGATCTCCTGTAAGTCCAAGATCATACTTATTTGAAGAGAGATTGGCATGAAGTGCTTCTTGAGTGTATACATATGCTATCCACGGACTATTTGACGAATACAGCTTGAGGTGCACACAGACAAGGAATTCTTTCAAGGGACGCAGAGAGATTCTTGATGACATAATCCAAGGATCTTCACATGGAGTCTTAAAGACAGCTTTGTATCGCCCTAGGAAATCCTCCTGATCTAAATAAAGAAAAGGTGATTTGTTAAATGATTTAGTTTTTTAAAGGACCTTTTATATGAATGTTAGTTTTCCATATAGTACTGTTCCTAGGCATTTACCTAGTAATTTTCAGACCAACACATTAAGAAACAAACTTGTAACCTACTCTTTTGGGTTGTTTTTTTTTGTGGTAGAGAAGTGATGAATTTGCAGGCAGCAAATAAATCCAGGTTGTTCATGAAAGCTTTGAGTAAAACTCGTGCACAAGATCAAGGATGACCATGTAGAATCAAAGAATCCTTTAGGTTAGAAAAGACCTCTGAGATCATCAAGACCAACTGTTAATCCAGTACTGCCAAGACCATCACTAAACCATGTTCCCAAGTGCCACATCTACACATCTTTTAAGTACCTCCAAGGATTATGACTCAAACACTTCCCTGCACAGCCTGGTCCAATGCTTGACAACCTTTTCCAGGAAGAAATTTTTCCCAGTATTCAATCTGAACCTTCCCTGGTACAACCTGAGGCCATTTTCTCTTGTCCTATTGCTTGTTACACGGGAGAAGATATTGACTCCACCTTGCTACAACCTCCTTCAAGGTAGAGAGCAATAAGGTCTCCCCTGAGCCTTCTCTTTTTCCAGGCTGAACAACCCCAGTTCCCTCAGCCACTTGCCGTAAGACTTGTGCTCCAGACCCTTCTCCAGCTCTGTTGCCCTTCTCTAGACTCACTCCAGCACACAATGTCTTTCTTGAAGTGTGGGGCCCAAAATTGAACACAGGGTTCAAGGTGCAGCCCCACCAGTGCTGAGTACAGAGGGACAATCACTACGCTAGACTTGCTGGCCACACTACTTTGGATACACGCCAGGATGCCATTGGCTGCCTTGGCCACCTGGGCACACTGCTGGCACATGTTCAGCCAGATGTTGACCAGCATCCCCAGGTCCTTTTCTGTTGGGCAGGTTTCCAACTACTCTTCCCCAAGCCAGCAGCGCTGCCTGGGGTTGCTGTGACCCAAGTGCAGGACTCCACCCAACTCTACAGCATGAATTCACTCATTCAGTCTGGCCACTTGTCAGAGACTAAAAGCAAAATCTGGTATACACAGCATGGAAAACTTGTTTTCAAAATTACTTGAAATCTGGGGTGAGGAAGACTGAATGGGATGGAAAAGTGTCACAGAAGATGAGATTTTTAGATACAAGCTCAAACATGCCTATCTTTTTTAGTAAAAGAACTACTACTAATAAAAAAGAACTGCCACCTTACAGAGTGGACAGAACATGAGGAAACTGATTTTATAAAGGAAACAGCTAACTAGTTATAGTTTTATGCCAACATTGTGACACAGTCTCTCCAGATAAAAATAATTGCTCAAATCCTTCATTATTAAGTAGGAATTATGCTGAAGGTTTTGAAAGATTTGATGCAGCTGCTGTTCCTCAGAGAGTATATGTCAGAAGTATATTTGCATGACTCATACAGCCTCCAAAATTCCTGTAAGCAATCTTGAGCATGCAGAGATGGCCAAAGTAACTGGTTAAGGAAGTTTCCTGACACAGCTTCAAAACTTGAAGTCACTGTTAACTATCTGAGCTGACAGACTGAAAGTCTGTTCCTGAGCACAAATATTAATCAAAACTTGAAGTACTATCAGCAGACTTGATTTTGACAGTGAACAAATTCTCAGAGAGGCTTGATTTCATGGTAAGCATTAAATAAGTGTTGATGTGCCAACAGTGAATTAAAGGGCTGATAAATCCTATTACAGTTCTTAGGGGAATTTTCACTGCGAAAAGGGAGCCAGTCAGAGTGGACATAAACTTGCAGATGAAACATGGAAGACAAGAAGGTGATCAGGAGCAGTCAGCATGGGTTCACTAAAGGTAAGTCATGTCTGACCAACCTGATTGCCTTCTACGATGAAACAACTGCCTGGGAGGATGAAGGGAGAGCAGTGGACATTGTCTGCTTTGACTTCTGCAAGGCTTTCGACACTGTCCCACAGCATCCTCATAGGCAAACTTAAGAAGTATGGGTTGGACAAGTGGACAGTAAAGTGGACTGAGAACTGGCTGAACAGTAAATCCCAGAGAGCTGTGATCAGTGGTACAGAGCCCAGTTGGAGACCTGTCACTAGTGGTGTGCCCCAGGGTTCTACAGTGGGCCCAGTACTGTTCAGCTTATTCATCAATGACTTGGTCGAGGGGACAAAGCTGCCTTCTCAGCAAGTTTGCTGACGAGACAAAACTGAGAGGAGTGGCTGATGCCACATTTGGAGTATTCTGTCCAGTTCTGGGACATGGAGCTCCTAGAGCAGGTCCAGTGGAGCACAATGAAGATGATTAAGGGACTGGAGCACCTCACTTATGAGGAAAGGCTGAAGGAGTTGGGCCTGTTCAGTCTTGAGAAGAGACAACTGAGAGGGACCTCATTAATGTATTCACGTACATGAACAGGAAGTGCCAAGATGATGGAGCCAGGCTCTTTGCAATGGTGCAAACCAGTAAAACAAGAGATAACAGGCAAAAACGGATGCCCAGGAAGTTCCACCTGAATACAAGGGAGAATTTTACTGCACAAGTCTCTGAGCACTGAACAGATTGCCCAGAGAGGTCATGGATTCTCCCTCACTGGAGGTATTCAAGAACCATCTGGATGCAATCCTGAGCCTTGTGCTCTAGGATGGCCTTGCTGCAGTAGGGAGGTTGGACCAGATAACCCACTGTCATACCTTCCAACCTAAATGATTCTGTGATTCTGAGAAAACAGGTCTGAGGCAGGCAACCAACATAAATTTTGTAAAATGAATTCAATCTGATGATGATTCTCCTAGTCTGCTTTACATAATTCAGAAAGATTGCTGTTGATCAATATACAAGGCCTGAAGAATTAATTTAAATTAACAAACAAGTTTACTTAGAGAGGTCTACCCTTCTAGAAACTGGAAGCGCTAGCCCATCTTGCTCCAAACAATTTTTTTAGAAGTGCTAAAAAGTGGTGCCAAAGTTAAGAGAATAGATACCAATACTATCTGAATAGTTATGAGAAAGGTTTGGAAAATTTTATATGCTTTATATACCCAAAAGAGTGCTGAAAAAGCACAAAGGAAATCATAACCATAGTCAGAAAATGTACTTTGCTGTCCCAAGTGGAACACACATAGTACAGCATTAAATTATTCTGAAATTAATTATCAATATTATCTTGGCTAAGTTTGACACATGGGTGGATGCAATGTAAGTAGGAGATGACGTTACATTAAAGCCTTTGGAAGTTCTATTAATCACTGCTTATTTTCTCTAGCAACTTGTGGGCTGTGGCCGACCCTTGACCATGGAACCGAGAAACTTGAACTGGCTGTGCTTTGAGAGTGGCATTCCTAGCTAACAACTAGCCCCCTTGGGTCCAGACAACACAACACATTTAGAAGAGTAGCCGTGAACATACCTTTACCACCACAGCACAGAAAAGGTAGCATAGTAGAAAGAATCAGAAATCAGAAAATAACAAAGAAAAAAAAAATCACAATTTGGAGCGAAACAAACTCAATGCAATAGTAATCATGGGCTGACTTTTCAATGTCATTTGCTGTATTTGGGCACATAAGCCCTTTCAGAAACGCAAATTATTCCTTCTTAATATATTTATCTCTAATAGATACAAAAACTGGGGGGTTTACCCTCACTAAACCCAAAAGCATTCACTTAATAAGCCTGTTCTCTTAAGCTCTAGGAGAAATACTGAAGTGTATGTGCATATTTCCAAAAGTCCAAAATAAACTTCCTGAGAATGACAAGGTAATGCAAACGAAAACCAAAACTAAAATCTCTTTCTTTTTTCCAAATGTTTTCAGATTGTGGTAATTTACACTTTTACAAGAGATAACCAACCATAGGTAGGAAGAATTAGACATGCAGGAGCAGATCCTCTCCGTACATAAGCACTAGTGTTATTTTCCCTATGTTACTAATAACCACTGTATCGGTATAGTTGACCATTAATAGAGTCCAGTATTCTCTTGAACAAAAATAGTCACAAGTTTATGTGTCTGCACAATCTGGCTTCTAACCAATAACAACAATAGCCATTAACTTCCTTGCAAGTGTTTGCCACCTGTGACACATTTGGCTTGCTACAGTCCATTAAAATGACGTCAAAAGAATATTGTACACTAACATATTCCATCTAGAGCTCATAACTGTTCTTTAGAAAAAGTTCAAAACTCTAACCTTTCTACATGTGGGTCACTTGATTCTGATGAATATTTTGGAAATCTGAAGCTTAAAACTCTTTCCTCAAAATTAATTTCATCTCTCCTTTTCATTCACAGTTGTATTTGGTTATCTAGGGATAAACTACACCACATGTACAACACACAGGAAGTTCTTCTCTCTTCATATTTTTGGAGAACACAGACATACTCTGGCACCTTAGATGAAGAGAGAACTGAATAGAGATGCTGCTGACAGTACAAACAGCATAAAACAAAAAACCCCCCACAATAAAATTAGCTTTTCTTGAAGCACTACTGGCACTTGCAAGTGATACTGAGGTGAAAAATTAAACCCCTCTTTGCTTTCTTCCTCACAACTTTAGATGCAGTTGAATTTTTCCTGGAAAAAGTCTTTTAACACATCTGTCCTTCTCCTGAGAAGCTCTGGCCTTTGTACCACTGAAAGTACAAGGGATCAAAACCTCTCGAGCACAGTAGCAGTTTTATCACCTGAACCTCAAATTATGTCTCAATAAAACTATTTTATGAAAATTACTACATTTGGAGAATTATAACTGGAATTATCTAGTCTGTAAACCTATGAAATCTCATGGCTCATACACTGTCATTAAGCAGGGACACTTTAAAAAAAAAAAAGCAGGCAATAAATTTGAACTGCAAGGAGCTCTGAACTTCTAGAGGAAGACTACATGCTATGGCACAGGAATCAGCTTCTGAAACCAGCAGTTAAGTAATGGCAAAAAGCACTTCCAATTTTTTAACACTCAAAGCACATTGCTAACACTATAAATGTATTACACACTATTGATACTTGTATGTATCAATACAAGATGTATGAATGGCAAGCACTGATATCTTCACCAGTTCAGGCCTAGAGTAGTGACAGTCTAACCATCAGTTTACAGAACAGCCATGAAAAATCCCGAATTACTGATTCTACCTTACCTCACACAAAAGAATCACCATGTCAGTTATCCAATTTCTACAATAAACTTATGAATTTATTTTTAATTCACTGTTATATAAAGAGCATAAACTGCAAAATTCAAATAAATGATCTTTGTTCCATGTTTTGGACCTTACTACCTTTTCCTTAGCCATATTCAGATCCAAAACCAACAGCAATCCAGAAGATGTTCTATGCTCATACATGCCCTAAACAGAGTGAAGTTCAAAGGATCTCGCGGTGTTTTTCTAAGAACAGTGTAAAAGATATAACAACATGTTCTGATAATAGTTAACACTTCCAGTTCAAAAAATAACAAGAAAATTGTTTTGTTATTACATATTGTGTTTTAGTTCTCCAAACATAAAGAGCATCCAAAATGCTAAGCACCAACTGTTTCATTTCTTGCTAATGGCAGTTCTTCCTCTTGATTTCAAGAGAGCAGAAACTTGCCTGTTCCTAATATATTTCAAAAGTCCTATTCATCAAGACTAATGCTACTTATTTGGAATACCAACACTAGACAAATCACGAAAAAATTCTCTTACCTTTGCCTGCTGTAGCCAGGAACAACTGAAGTAAAAGGACTACTTGAACAATCCTGAATCTCAAGAAAATGTCCTGTATTCTGCCAACACAGCAGTGCTGTTTTCCCCAGGCAACCATTCTAGAAGAAAAAAATAAATTAATAAACAAACCACAGTGACTAGAAAGGTGTGTGGACACTATGACAAATGATGTTTCCAACACAAGAGTATAAATCTTTTCAACCCTGTTATACTGCTGGGTATATATTGTACAGAAATGCACATATCCTCTGTATATTGCCAAGACACCAAGAAAGAAAGAACTGTTTGCTGAAAGGAAAAAACCAGAAACAAACTCAAAAACCCCCACTCAAGCTCTAATTCTCCAAAGAGTCCCAAATACATCAGAGCACGGCTATGAGTCCCTGCACAAATAAGGCTTTCAACATTTGAAAAACAAACAAACAAAACCCCAAAAAGACACACACAGAAAAAAAAACTCAACCAAAAGCAAACAGAGCAAGCATGGAGAGCTTATCCAAAAGCTTTCTTAACCTCAGTAAGTATATAGGAAAGCATCTCTTCAGTTCTCTACCCAAAAATTCTCTCATTTGACATTTCAACAGCAACACCATGAATGCCTAAGGAAGAAGCAACAGTTTGATTCCCAATCCTCATCTCACTCTCAAGGCAAGAAGCTCTTGCAAAAATAGGAGAAATGCCACAAGTTACTGTGGGCAGCAAGTTCATGGAAAGTATCACAAAAACCTGGTATGTTCACATTTCTTCCTACTGATGGCTGTCTAATGTCATTCCCAGGTGTTAGAAAAAGAATATGCCTCCCATTATGAGAGGTAATGTTCGAAGAAATTACATAGTTTTTCCAAGATCTTTTAAGAAAGGTACATCTGAATATTCTGCATGCTGAAAAAAACACTAAGTGAAACATTCAGGCACATTTTGTATGCGTTCATTCTTAAATAAAAAGGTTTAGAGGTACATAGTTACAAGTGATTCTATAATTGATTCTTGAAACAAAAGCAAATCAGTTAACTTTACATATCATTTATCTGTATATCTGTATATCTGTAGCTGATGATGGGCACAGCAAAGGGAAGTGGGGACAGAGGCAGAACTTCCCGTTGACTGAACACAGTCACATCAGGAACTCTGAAGCTATTCAAAGCTATGAATGCAGATTAATGATCCCAAGGAAAGCGATAAAATCCAGATATAGGGAAACTGAGTAAACACAAAGAGAAATACTGAGATGGTCACAGCTCAACTGATTTTTTGCAGAACTTTGGACATTAACACTAGCTCAAGATTTGTTCCTATGTCTGGATAAAACATACAATTAAAAGAGTTGAGGAAAAAATATTAGTGTTCCCTTCTTTTTGCAATAATGCTCTTCAGACACTACTAAAGAAAAAGATCCAGATAGCTTTGATAGATTTTTTTTAAAGAAAAAAGTAAGAGATCAAATATTACTTAACCATATCTATTGCAATAAAGATCGTTCCAAAACATTTGAGCATCATGTTCCTTTTAAACTTATTTAAGTCCTTCTCTTAGAATCCTAAAACTCTATTCTTAATAATGATCCTGAACAGCAATGTAATTGCACATAGATAGTTGTGGACATTACAGAATTTGGCATAAATGATTCTTTTGATTTGTTGTTCATTTGTACAAATGAACATTTTTATTGATCGTTACAACAGATGAATACAGCATGACTCAAGAGACTCCAGAACAAATACGCAGTTTTTGCAGTAGGATGAAAAATTTTCACCTGCAAATCAAGCACATCTAATCAAGTGAATGGGATTACATCAGGCTGGTGACCAGTCACTAGGAGCTCTGCAAGGCTCCATCTTAGGCCCAGAACATAAACTGTTGGTCACAGAAACTTATGTTGGAAATCATGACCCAAAGCAATCATTCACTTACATCTAATCATGCTGTCTACTCTGCACTTCAAACCTTTTTGTTCAAGCTGCACTTATTTGATCCATAGTCTCTGGGGCTCATTCTGTCTTCTGTAGTTATCCCCTATTAAAATCTTGGATTTCAATAAAAATATTTCCCAAATTTATAGAATTACAGCTGCAGAGGAGGGTAATAATGAATGGTAAGCTTATGACACCTCTTGTGTGAGTTTATCTTATTCAAATCTATACCAGGTGATAAAAGGCTGAAAAGAGCAATAGAAACACATCATACTGCCCAGGTATGAGAACTTCTTGGTGTCTTTCATTACTTTCAGAAATGTAAGACTGTAGACTTCTTCCATCAAACCCCTTATATTTTCCTGGCTGGAACCAAAATGCAGTAAAGTTTTTATGTTATTTTTAAATTTTGGCCGAAGCAACGTAGATGTAATAGGGAGGACACTTATGTTGGAAATTCTTAGGTCACTGTGAATCTTGGCACATACAATATTCACTGACTTAACAGCAGAAGTAGCACCATTGATTTTAAAATGTTGTTCTATGGGGTTTTTAAATGTTTTTTTTCAGGAGACAGTAATAGGATTATTACTGTTTGATAATAGCTTGGGTTTCATTAATTTTCTCCAGTGTTAATCATGGCTGTAAAAACAGGCATAATGTATTCTACATATAGTCACTTTATGTACAACACTAGTTTTTTCTAAGACTATAATAGTAATGTGTTCAAATGGTAATGTGTTCACCTTCCAAACATGTCCTCCTGACATAAAATCTTTACTGCTTTCAAATATATTAAATATTTTACTTTTTAATAGGTTGGTTTACAGAGAGCAACAAGCTGCTTAGTTACAGACATCAGTCATCCAAAACTCACAGCTCATTGGTTAGTTCTTAACAGAATTAAACAGGAGGAAGAACACTCAGAAATCCATTCTTTTGTTTAGTCTTTCAGCTGCTGCAGGATACTGGTATTAGAAAGACTTTTTAATATATTTTATTTTACAAATACCAAGCTATGCAAGCCACAGTCTGCTTTCAGTTCAACTCACAGATCACCCCTTAGAGTCATGCAAAAGTGCAAACTTAATTGCTAAGGTCTGTGTGTGGATTCAGGAGTGCGAAATGCTATTGGATGGCTCTCCATTATGGACATTAGTGCCAAAAAGCACTTTTGGGACTTAATCCTTTCATACAATAAATTGTCTCATATATATAGGGCAAAAATGGAACACAGGACAATTACAAGCAAGTTTTTGTTCCCTCTTATCCAGACTGGAAATGTTTCACCACCTCATATCCAACTGTCATCTGGGAGATAAGCAAGAGGCCTCTCTCTAGGTCTTATAAAAGTTTTACACTAACCAGGAAATCCTCACCTGCATTGTGTATTGCCTTGAGAGCACAGTAGTATCCACACACTCTATTAAACCTTCTAGACCAAACTAAAAAGCCCTTTAGTGACAATACCTGAGCAGGTTTCCACTTCAAAGAGTTTACAAAGTACTGACAAAGTATGAGAAACAGACATGTAATAAAGTAGTTATGTTTGCCACAAGTCTGGTTATTTCAATTACAGGCAGGTTGTTTACATTTTCCTTAATAACAGTCTGTGGTCCAGGAAGGGCAGAGAAACCACAAAAATTGCTGCGCAGAGTAGAAGACTGAAAGTACAACAAAAACCATATAAAAATTGGCACATCAAAAAAAATTAAAGAAACACTAGACATGCAACTTGAGCCATGTCAAAGGCATGAGAAAGGGTGTACAAAGATATAAGCATTATAAAGAAGATAAATAAAAGTTTTGGAAAACCTTTGTAATCAGTTACAGGACTTGGGTTTGATGCAGAGAGAAAGAGGGAAGGACAAGGACTTTTCTAAAGCTCAAATATTCAAATCAGTGAACAATGTAAGCAGGCTGTGAGGATTCAAGTGAGGGCCAGGCATGCCAAAAAGAAGACTGTCCAGCTCATGCTTTCAATTTTCCTACTTTTCAAAAATGAGTCCTGAGAAGTTTCATCTTACTATAAGTGGGTGGGAAAAAAATAGAGTTGTTTCTGCTCAGTTTACACTTCCTTTCCCCACTCTCCTTTCCACTCTCTCTTGGCTTGAACAGCAGCACCCTAAAAAAGAAATTATACTCTGATTTCATCCTAAGCCTTACTTCATGGACTTAACAGGTCTCTTGGATCTTGCACTTGGAGCTGTAAAAATTCTCCGGAAGCTGAGAAGCACACTTTTTGACAAAAGTTTTTGATTCTTTTAAACAATTTCACAGACTGTTTCAGTCAACAGACCAATGACCAAAACTAATAGTCTGTACCACAGAAATAAAGCTCAGCAGTTTGAAAAGATGGAAGCACTGAAGCAAGCATCTTCTAAAGTCCCATTATAACTTTGGTTCAGAATATGGCATCAATACGCTATACAGCCAAAGGAAATATAGTCTCTTCAGCACTTCAGTCTTCACATGGGGTAAATACATAGGGGACCTCTATTAAGACATTCTAGGAAACAGGGTTATGCCAGAACAGCATTCTGGATCTCTTTTAGCAATACTCCTGCTTAAGGTTCAATGAACATCAATGGAGTACAGGGGACTGGATGGTGTCATTGCCAGGATAAACCCCATAATGAGTTGTTAGGGGAAGAAGGGGAATCAGAGTTCCAACTGGGGCCCATAATAGACTACTACAACTGAAACTAGTTAGTCAATAGCAGTCATTCTTAAATACTTGAAAGTCAACACACAAGTCAGTAGATGACTTCAAAGCAACTTCAGAACAATTTATTTTAACCAGAACCATTTCTGTTTGCAGCCCCTACAAACGTATCAGCTCAAAAAAGTTACTTTGACAAACTACACTCCTCATGGCTTTTTTCACCATCACCATCTCTAGAAAAAAAAGTGATTAGCCTTCTTAAAAATAAACCACACTAACCACAATGCTGACTTGCTGAAACATAGATAAGGGTGAAAAAAGAGAAACTCTTTTTAATTCAAGTTCTCTGAATACTTGGACTAAGTAATGATGGAACAAAGTCACTTCAAAACAAGAAGTGACAAGTATGATCATAAACTCATTCCGTCAGTTTATGTCCATAATTAATTTGGTGCAAAAGAAACAAAGTGATTCAAAGTCTGGTTGAGAATCAGAAATTAAATGTGGAATTTGGCAACATTC